GAGAGACTGAGTGCTACGTCACTGTGAGCTCCTGCTCAGGACACGACGCATCCCAGCATATTACAAGTGCTCATCAGCTCTGAGTAAAGAAACATGTTTTACTTCCACACAAGGTTTCCTAAACATATTTGACCTTGGAACTTGTTTTTAATCTCTCGGCTATGCCGAGCACACTCACAAGCAATTGCTTAGTATGAAGCCAGAAGGACTGGGTGACTTTCATTGGTCTCACCCATTGGGTCACTGGCTTGAGTCCAGTGTGATTGGTCCCACAAGCTTTACACTGTCCCATAGACAGAGACTGGGATTCTGATCACCTTCAGTCATTTCTCATCACGTCATCACGAGAACCTGGTAAGTGGGGAGGGTGAGGCGAGGTGAACCGGCGGGTCTAAAGGTCTGTAACTCTGTCATCCCCACAAATCCATCTAATATTGAGGCAAGAACACCAGGTCCATTTCCTATTCTACTGGGTTGTCGGAAAAGTCATCACGTATTTTTTCTATGTTTTTCGTTGCCAAAATGCGTCATGACTTTTCCAACAACCCAATATTCAAACCAGCCACGAGCATCACACCTCAGGGTAAGGGACTGAATAGATATAACCGCAGACAGTATTCATAGCCCAAGGCTTTCTAGAGCAATCCATTGTAATGGTAGAGTATAAGATTTAAGGGAGGAAAAAAAACCCCTCCAAAATGTATATCTCTTTGTGTGAATATATCAGTGATTATTTTTAAGAAAACAAACCAACCAACCTGAAAATCTGTCATGGGGTGTGGCTATTAAGCCCTGTCCATATTGTTTAGCATTTCCATGTAGCAGTTTCCTCATGTGTCACTGTCAAATCAGGTCATGAATATGGCGAATTCTCGGGGCACTGGCCCAACAAACTTCATACACATGTCATTATGAGGGACTCAGTGACCCTGCTCCATTATGGAGGACACGCCCCCCTGGGAATGACGCTGTTCATCAGGTTGTGGCACACGTGCTGTCAACTCTTTAACAGTCACTCAACTGTAAAACGTGTTTCTTTACTCAGAGTTGATGAGCGCTTTTAACATGCTGGGATGCGTCGTGTCCTGAGCAGGAGCTCACAGTACGTAGCACTCCGCCTCTCGTGCTAGCACCTGCCCTGCGAACCAGTAAGCGCTCTCGGCGCCATTGGTCCAGAAGACAGAGTTTGGGACACCCGTCTTAACGGGATCCCCCGGGAAAAGCTGCCCTCAGGGGGTTGTCTATGGAGAGACATCTGTATTCTTGGTCTTGGTAGACTGACTGTTATGGAAGAAAGAGCAACTGAGGTTTCTAAAAAGGATTTTTTTTCTTTGTTTTACCTTTGCCGTGAACCGAGTATCACCACAATGTTTCTCACCCCACCCCCAACCTGGCTAGCTCCTCACCCTCATGATCTCAGCGGAAGGCCTACGTGCTCAGGAAGCCTCCACGCCCCCCACATCCTCTGGGGTCCCTGCTGTATGTTTCAGCACACCCTGCACTTGTTTCCCTCACAGCCCTTCCCCAACCTGTAACTACATGTGACTCTCCCACTAAAAGGGAAAGCCCACGTCAGTCACAGTGGCACTCCGTGGCTCACAGGCACTTAGCAAAGAAGTGCTGGCAGACAGGGACTTAACACAGTACCCAGAACCGAACAAGCATTCAACAAATGATGGCTTTTCCCAGTTCAAAAATAACAGCAAACCCTGAGGCAAGGACCAATTGCACAAACCCCGAGGGTGCAGCTCTGCAGGCGACCACTGCAGGCTCCCCCTTCACACAACTTCCTCAGTCACTCCTCCCGGCTTAGCTTTCCATCAAACCCTCAATCAATGCTGTAGGATCCGATGACCGCTGATTACCATTATCTACGAGGTAAGAAACGGAAAGGAGACAGACGGAGAGAAATGAGCGGATAGTAATAAGGACCACCAGAAAGCCAGCAGCAAGGCCCGAGTCTGAACACACGGTTTCTGCGTCATCCCCGGGCTCTGCTACACGGACCGCCAGGAGCTAATGACAGGAAGTGCATCTCCCTGAAAAACCTGAGCACCTGGTCACCACCGCCAGTCACAAGGAGAAGTGCAGACAACTCAAGGCCAAAGTATGTCTGAGGGGAAGCTACTTAGAATTTACCTGCAGCGAGTGAGTGCTAATGTGGCCGAGAGTGAATTAGATGCAGCTTTGATCTGACCCCTGAATATTGAAAAGATAGCCAACGCCTAAACTGCCATCATAAATCCTTAGGTTTGTAATTAATTTTTTAATAACAAAACTATACTACCAATTATCAATCTTTGAACTTTTTGGTAGCAAATACTATTAATACATATATATGACTGCACACACACACACACACACACACACACATAACCAGAAATAATCCACAGCACCCCAAGCTAAAAACAAGGGAAAATAAAACCTGAGCCCTCAACCCGCAGGGAGTCAATAGCTGCTTACTTTCAGATGTAGTACAGAGTAGAAAGAACTAGCATTTTAACATTAGAAAAATCCTTGCATCATACCAATATGAAGCTATAGTTTCTTTTATACAGTTTCTTTTAATACCTCGGTTTGCAAGGTATTATCTTTAAAAAAATATTATTTTGGGGTGGCCAGTTAGCTCAGTTGGTTATAGCATGGTGCTAATAACACCAATGTTGCCGGTTTGATCCCCACATGGGCCACCGTGAGCTGCACCCTCCTTTAAAAAAAAAATAAAAAATTAGTTCCATCTGAACAAGTAAAATTGATGTACTTGTCAAATCAGAGCCTCACACAATTATTTTGCCAATCAATTTATATTTCTGCTTAATAAGCCTGACAGTTGCTTTTAAAAGAAACGTTATGAAATATTCCCCAATTACGTAAAGAATTATTTAATAGATAAATATTCTTAATGGGATTCCCCTGTGGTTTCAAATAAGCCGGCACTTGATTAACCGCACAAGCTTGTTTGGCACAATCATAATTTTTACAAATGAAACAGAAGGGAGGGATCATAAAGAACGAATTAATCACCATGATCGGTGCTTCAGTCACACGAGAGCCCATTACTCATGTTAGTGAAGTTGGAGGATGACTGGCTGTTGCCACCGTAAAATAGACTCATGCCTGCGAGACGCCCGCGGGGCAGTTTCTGTGCTGGGCTCTTAGTTGATCACCCTGGGGACGGTGGCCGAGGGGGAGGGCAGCCACCCCCACGCGATGTGTATGGGACACCCACTGCAGCCACTGAAAGGGCCAGATTCCATATCATTAAATGTCTTAGGTAAGGAGGAAACATTCCAGGCACTCAAAAACCAGCTTTCCCCCGAGGTTACCCAAACACTCAAAGCGTCTCTGTATACAGTACACACAGCCTGGGAAAACCTGTGTGAATAGGAATTTAAGGCAGTATTTTTTGGGGCACCTACCAGGCGTTGCGAAGGATCGGGCTCCTATTTTGGAGGGCCTCCATCTGGAGAGGGACTCAGGGCATAGCTAGGTGAGGACAGGCTGACGGATGGGGGAGGTCAAAGAAGCCTTCATGCAGAGGTGATGCTGTAGACACGGGCACAATAGGGGCACTCCAGGCAGGGGGCACCCCTCTGGGGCTGATCACTTCAGGATGCATCCACCATCCCGCCACTGAACTCACACAGTGATACGAGCGTGATTTTCCAAGTCCCACTGTGTTCAGCTACGGAGTGTCTATGGAACACACGTCACCAAAACTGAAGATACAGTAATACCTCGGTTTGCGAGCATAATTCGTTCCAGAAACAAACTAGTCGTATTGCAAGACATCGCTGTTTACCACGTTAAAATGTGTTAGAAATGTTTGCTCGTCTTGCGGGACACTCGCAAACCAAGTTACGCACAATCCAAGGTTTTACTGTAGTCTCATGTTGCTCATCAAAGACGGCTGCCAGCATGGCACCGGGTGGGGACAGCTGCTGTGCAGGCAACACAAGATGGCGTTTTTTATTATATGGATGATAAAGGTGACTCCATTTAATCAGCAAATAATAAGAAAAGGCCCCATGATGTTTAGTCTGTACAACCATATACTAACATGTTTTTAAAAATATTTTCTTACTGAAAGCCCTAAAGACCATCTAGTTCATGAGCCTAAAACTCTTTTTTTCCCCAGCGAAACCAATTTCTAATGCAGTTCTGATGAACAGGGCTCTCAGGACAAAACACTTGCTTTGTAACAGAGTAAGAATGGCTGGAATTTATCGACCACTTCCTATGGGCCCATTATGGCTCTAAGTGCTCAAATTAACAACTCTTACCTCAATTGCCTTATAACATAAAGTCAATGCATGTGACAAAACACAGTGGCAAAGCATTTTGAACAAAAATGAAAATAATTCAACATCTAAACATCCGACATCAGTAGCCTCCTAGAAGACTTGACACAACATGTAACGAGACTTGGGTTGGAGGCATCTTCCCATCTTCCCACAGCACTTCCAAACCCTCTAGTCCTGTCTTATGAAATCATGCCACAGACTCACGTCCTTGGCTTTTGCCACCAGCTAACTCTCCCACTCGGTGGCTGTTATCTGCCAAAGAGCCAAATGCTTCTCTACGAAGGCCAATTTTCAGGGAATGAAACACGCGTCATGATTTAGAGGAATACTGTAAATACCAGTTTAAAAACGTCACATTGAGTATCAGATGAAGAACGAAATAAAACTAAATCGCTCAATTTAGCAGATTACCTTTCAGGCCAGCAACTCAGCACTTGTCAGAGTATTTACTGAATAAAGTCATGAACTCTGAATTCCTGGGCAGGGGTGGTGGAAACCGGCCCTGAAACTCTCTCACCGGGTCCTCTATACCCCTGCCCATGACGGCGGGAGGGCAGGCAGTCCTCATCCTTCCAGGCAGTTTCCTTCCACACTCGGTGTTAACCACGAAATCCTCCACCGATGTGAAACCACTCTCAGTACCCTTTAAACGCAGCACAGGCACAAAGGAGAAAACCAGCAGACCAGCAGGCCACACAGGGGATCTTTATAAAGAGTCTAACCGCTTTTATTACAATGGTGCAAGGGAGTATTTCATCCAACACTCACCGACAGCAAACCGGCATCTTCTACAAAACAGTTCCAGAAAGTTCAGACAAGAACATGAAAAGGTACGTTATCTGCAACGCTTCTCATACAGTACTGTTTAGTGTTTCAACTTCATGTCACTCCAATAAAGTGCAGTCATTTTCTGGCACACATGTGGCAACAAAGTTTGTTCTGGTTTACATCGTCTGCCCTACACACGCGTCACAACATGCCTCACAATTAAACACGTCTATCACAGCAGCACTCATGACACCCAGATCTGCTCATGCTCAGGATTAGCTCGCTGTACCAAATACCATCAAATACAAAATGATAGGAAATATAAACATCAATTTGTATTTCAAGTTTATAACACGTTATTTACAAAAATAGGCTGGGAGGAAAAGGGTTTACAGCCCCATATGTTTTCCTGAAGGTGGTCGGGGGGGACCATTTTGCGCCATGTTCTAGGATATTTTCCTAATAATCTTTAAAGTCGCAGTGAAATTCCTTCAGAATTCTATCTGTCAGCTAGAAGCTCAGGTGGAGAGGAGGAAGGGAGGGCAGGTGACGGGCTGGGCACACAGACGGCTTGGACTGAGCTGACCGGCGGTGCCTCATGCACTCGGCGACGCAAGCACGCTGCTCCGGCCAGCTGAGGTCTTCCCTGCGCTCTGAAGGACACCTGCTCGGCAGCTGACACGATGGGAACGGCGGTGTCGAGGCCACCACTAGGACATGACTCCAAAGACGGGGTTGTGGCGGCAGATGCTGGGGCCATACTCCTCGTAGTCCTTCTTGGTGTGACAGACCTGGAAGAACTCCGGCTGGGAGAGGCAATGGTGAGAGGGTGTCAATGCTACAGGAAGGAAAGGATGTTCAACGAGCAACTGCCCCCCCAAACCTCAGCTCTTCCTGCAGACCTTGGTTGGATGACTGGAACTTCTCCCAGGCCTGACTACTAAGTGGGAGTTTATTTCATTTTTAAAAAATGTATCCAGCCGAGTGGGTCAGTTGATTGAGAGCTCGCTCAAGAGTGCAAGCTCTGAGCAACAGGGTTGCTGGTTCGATTCCCAGCCCAAGCTGAACTGCCATCAGGTGGTAGGATGGCTCAGCTAAAAAAATAAAAAATAAATTTATCTGGCCTCTACTTCTGTGCTCACCTTAAATTATCAATTCGTTATCTATTCACACATTTGAGGAGAAACAGCAATTATTACTTGGAAAAGTCCCTGGAACTGATGATTAATTCAAGGCATTTTAGGTTATTATGGGGTTTCACTCACCCGTACTATTTAACCCCTAATCAAAGGATGCTTGAGAATTCGCTGGGCTATTTAAACGATCCTATTTTTTATATCTCACAGAATAAAATGTGTGATCATTTAGAGCCACACACAATTAGAACACATACCTTCATAAGACACTATTTATCCAAACTCAACAGAAATTAAAACACAGGACAAGGACGGGGAGGACTCACGGTCGAGGCCAGCATGGAGCCCCCGAACCACACGGCATAGCGCTGCATGTGGTGTGTGATCACCTGGACCTCCACGGGCTTGGGCTGCAAAGCAAAGGGACGTGTGCTCACTCAGCAGGCAGGCAGCGTCCTCTCAGGACCTTCCTGAGGACAGGACGGCAGCCACTCGGGGCCACAAGGGCCTCTCCCGCCCTGACGTTGAGGTCCCTCTGGGGCTGCATCAGCCTCACCGGCCTCTCAAAGCAAGGTCCACAGCCACTCCTGCTGCCAAACCCCTCCGCCTGCAGCCCCGGCCCCCGCCCTGGGGTGCAGAGAACAAGGCACGCAAGTCAGGGTGGGCCTATGTGTCACAACACTAAAGGCATTTAAAAAACCCAAGCAACTAGCCCTACTGATTTCTTTTTACTAAACAGGTGAGATGGTTTAGCACTGCAGAGATGATCCCCAATAACATTAAGGGTCCCCGAAACACTCTAAGAAATTGCATTTTGCTGACAGTGTGATTCCAGCAGGTGATGACATACACTTGCCCCCATTCACCCGACACCAAAGCCAATCTTGCTCAGACGCCCAAGTGAAATGGGCAGTTAGTGAAGAATTACTACCTGGGAGGAACACAGCGGAAGTCCTGCTATTATAGCATCAGTTATTTTGGTGTAATGAGAACATTCCCGAAGGACACTGAAGATGCTCAGTGTAAACAGAACCCCTCGCCTTGGGATACCGCTCATTACCCTACATGCCTGATCTCTTACAAATCAAAAGACAACTGCTGGCGAACGTGGGTCAATGAGAGCAGAAAACTGTTGTTGCTGCATCAGTAGGCGTATCAGTCTTAACTACACAACTCGGAATGAGTTCAGGCAACAAACCTCTAAATGTAATTTCACAAAAAGTGATTCAAACGTGTCTTATTTCATGTTACCCAGACAATAAAGTCCTTCAGCCTTGTGTCAGGGAGGCAGCCAAGTCGGCTCGGCCGCAGGAACCCCACTTCATTCGCATGCCCCAGTCCCAGCTCCTACCTTTATTCTGCCGCCACTGAGCTCCTCACTGAGTTTTAGTCTGGCATCCACCACCCTTTTCAAATCTCTCTGCAGCCGACGTCCAAAATCCCTGAACATCGTGGAGCCTCCTGAAAGGACGACATTCTAAAAGACACAAGCAGAAGGGTTTCCTCTGGGAACCATCCACAGCGTTCCAGTAACCTATCCACACAAAAGTCCCACGTCCAATCGCTCGTGTGACTAACACATTTCAATCTATATGAAAAGATAAGAATTGAAGCGAAGTTAATGCTATCGAAAGTGTGCACTGTACTTTTTTCCTGTGTCCCAAATTCTTCCTCTCAGTTTTAACCAAGTGAACATAAAGCAGTTCTGCTCCCACATGCTCCCTCTGTAGAAAGTGGAAGCTTTACAAGGACCAAGAGGCCAGAGAAAATTGTATAAATCAACAAACTGACTAGTTATAATAAACATCTCAGGCCAAATTAACACTGGATATTTAGCTATTTTGCCTTAATAATCACTGGGGAAAAGATACGTTTTCCAATTAACAGCTGAACCTTTCAGAAGGGTGATGTTGGGGAGAAGGAGAGTGTATCGAAGTCACCAGGAGAAATGTTTTCAAACGAGACATCCTTGCCGCCCACGGCCCCTCCACCCACCTCAGATTCTGCTAAGCGACCCCAGCAGAAGCCTGTGTGGAAGCGGGACGTAGGAGACGACTGTCATTACATCTCTTATCTGATTTTGATTTAAGATAAAAGTTGTATTCTTTCAGGCTACACAATGTTACTTGGAACGATGAAAGTGAAATGAAGCACATCCTGACTTAACTTTCTTACAGAAACATCATTTGAGAAAACTGTATAGGAGGACAAAGCAGCCCTCCCTCCCGGGAGCCAGAAGCCCTAGTCCACGGCACCCCGACCCCGCTCTTCCTGAGCCCCTCCGTGACTGCGGGACTGTCCGTGTCGCGGCTGCCCCGGGAAGCCCATCTGTCTGAGCAGCACATCCTCGCCGAGCCCCAGGAAGCAGTGGGGGGATGCACCTTCGGGTCCTGGTGGCCCAGGTTGTAGGTGACATGGCGTCAGAAGAGCCATTGCCTGCGTCCTGCATCCTGCCGTCCTCAGGAAAGGCAGCCGCGCTGAGAAGAAAGGGAGCGGCCTCTTTCCCTGCTGACACCTGGTGCCCATTTGGATTCGGGGTCAGATGAGATCAGAGGCCGCGGGGCGGGGCGGGGCCAGAGAAGCCCCCGTGATGCTGTTGTCACCTGGGGAGCTAGGCCGCTTCCACCGCAGGTCTACAGAGAGCACTTCACCTTTGTGCCCTGTCAGCAGACAGCTGATTGGCAGGAACAAGCCCTCCGGGTGCCGGGCTGACGAGAACAGTCAGCGTCTGAAGCTGTCACCGAGCCTCGGCCAGCCGGGGATGAGCCAGGGGAGGCCTCAGCAAGTGGCCACCAAACTGAACTCACATTTGTTATCACCTTCAAAAGTCGCAATCCTACGCTCAAAGCCCCGCATGACCTCTCAGCCTTCTCAGGACACTGCCTGGGGAAACCATCCCCCCACGTGCCCAAGCCCCCCCACTCCCCGTCGCCTCTTCCTGCCCCACTTTCCTCCTTGGCACCTCGCCATGCATCCTGCCCATTTATTATTTTGTATGTCGCCCCCACAGGAGTGTAATCTCCACGGTGAAGGGACTTTTTTCCCCCTATTTTGGACACAGGTGACCCCACAGTGCCCAAACAATGACCAGCACACTGGGGGCTCCCCATAAATACTGTCCAATGAATGAATGAATGGATGGACCCTGAAGCACCGTAATTTTGCCCACTGGGAATTTTGACAGGGAATCCCAAAGCGCTCAGAGACTGGGTGACTTAGGAGCATTTCAGCCAAAAAGCATCTGCTGTACTCGGTCAGCAAATTCTCAGATCAAAACCAGCCAACTAAGGGCTGGCCGAGTGGCGCAATGGTTAAGAACTGGCTTGGGACGCCAGAGAGCCCCGGTTCGGATCCCACATATGAGGGCCAGTGACACTGCCCTCCACAGC